TTAAAGCAAGATTTACCCCTTCGAAGTGCAGAATAAATTTCGTACACTCGAAAACAGTCACTAAGAAATAATTTACCACGAAGGGATTATAAAATATTTAAAGAATCATCACATCAGAAATAAGGTGACAGTAATTTCAACCAACATCAAATAAAGAAGCAACCAATATTGGGAAAAGAAATCTGTCAAATAATATATTACACTATCATAAAGTACTACTATACTTAAAGCAAGATTTACCCCTTCGAAGTGCAGAATAAATTTCGTACACTCGAAAACAGTCACTAAGAAATAATTTACCACGAAGGGATTATAAAATATTTAAAGAATCATCACATCAGAAATAAGGTGACAGTAATTTCAACCAACTCGCTCCATCTACACCCTCAATTCTCCTAATCGATAACCCTAGAAGGGGCGGAGATAAACCCAGCCTTCACGGTTGTTCCACGATAATTTCCAACTGCGGCAACAGAAAATCCGGAAAGCCTTGAATATCGTGTTCTCCGTATCAAACGTCACTCACGATCCTCAACAGTAGTTACACCCAGAGGCGTGAACACGCGATTGTCCGATGACAATCTAATAAAAGATAGTCAGATACGTTCGCGTGGCCAACTTCTCGATAATGCTCGATCGACAGCTGATGCATAGATCGCAAATGGATAGAGCAACGGCGTTAGAACCGGATGGGATTAGCGGTGGGCAATTATTGATAATTAAACAGCGTATAATGTGACAGTCGGCTGTCAGCCGGTCTGCATTTAGGTAAGGGTAGATTACGCGGTGATCGCGGCCAGACGATCGCCGGATAACGATTAAATCGCGCATGCGATCGTTATTTGTCATTAGAGTACACGTGGACGTGATTCCGCTGACTCACTCGACGAATGACGCGAGTCGATCGAACTTCAGTCGTGGGTGAAATCGTCGGTGACTTGTAATTAGTCTCACTTCGCGCTGATTGATATTTTCATTGCTGGCAGGCAACGTGTGACGCTTCTTCCTCGAGTAATTAATATGCTTTTCAGTTGATTTTCGAGATTCTTTTCGTGGTTCTTCTGACGTGAATTCGCGTTGTTTGTGATTTTCTTTATGGTTGTTGCTGATGCGAATTCTGTTTTATTATTATTGTCGTGAATTCGTGATATTTCTGATCGTATTACTATTTTTGGTTGACGAAAATTCGAGTCATTTATGGTACTCTATTTTATTATCGTTGACGTCAATTTACCTCGTCTGTGTGATCTTTGAAATTTTTGACAGGACTTTTTAAGATTCTTATTTTTGTTATTAAATGGGAATTTGTAGGATCGAGATTTGTAATTTGTTTATTTTAACTGGATTTTACTGTGAAGAAGAAATGAAATGAAAAAATTGTCATCTATGAATGAATTAAAATGATATTCATATTTATCGAGCAATATCTTTATAAATTTACTTTTCAAATTTCATTTTTGCTAACTAATTATTTTGACAGCTTCTGTATTTAGAATTTTCAATTTTGCGATTTCACGTCAATAGCGTATATTTAAGACACGTTCTCATAAAGAACAATTATTTTCCTAAACCTTGCATGTATACAAATGTGTTTTCTCAAAATTTCCCAAAAAATTCATTATTTTTCTACTTCTAGTTGCACTTTGACATAAAACGAAGCGTATATTTTTACTCGGGACGAGTACTTCAGATTACCCAGAAAAATTCACGTTGAGTAAAGTCAAACATCAAGAACATAAAAAATGCAAAAAAATAAAAATGACAAGTTTCAATTTCCATTAAACTTGATATAAAATCCCAGAAATATACCAGAGAACGAATGATTTGAACAAGACGAGTAATTTCCATAGAATTCAAAAATTGAATTACACTCAATAAAGTAAATATTAAAAATATTAAAAAATTCGAAAACCAAGTTTTAATTCGCAATAAATTTAATATAAAATCCTAGAAATATATCAGAAAACGAATGATTTAAATAGAATTCAAAAATTGAATCAAACTCAATGAAATAAAATATTTAAAATATTAAAATATTCCATGGCCAAGTTTTAATTCACAATAAATTCAATATTAAATTCCAGAAATATATCAGGGAACGAATGATTTTACCAAGACGAGTGATTTCGACAAAATCTAAAAATTGAATAGAACTCAATAAAATCAAATATTAAAAATATTAAAATATTCCGTGGCCAAGTTTTAATTCACAATAAATTTAATATTAAATCCCAGAAATATACCAGAGAACGAATGATTTTATCAGGACGAGTGATTTCGATAAGATCCAAAAATTGAATCAAACTCAATAAAATCAAATATTAAAAGCATTAGAAAATTCAAAGACCAAGTTTTAATTCACAATAAATTCAATATAAAATTCCAAAAATATACTAAAGAACGAATGATTTGAACCAGACGAGTGATTTCAATGGAATTCGAAAATTGAATCATGAGTCTCGAATACGATGCAAATCGTCCCACGAAGCGTTGACATTTTTCGCAAGCGGAAGTCGTTGGCCTGGAGATTGATGTTTGTTCCTGCCTCGATCCTGGGCTCATGGGGGTCTGACGCATTCCACGTTCCGTTGGAGCGGATGTAGATAGTAATGCTTGGTTGTTAACATGCGGTAACTGGTGCATGGCGTTAATCCTCGCTTTTCATTATCCCGAATCCCGCCGCTTTCGAGTCTATCGTTGCACGACGGGGGCTGAAAACCTTTGAATTTTCAACGCAGATGGTTCTGACAGCGCGGTTACAACCGTGTAACGATTTGAATAAGTACAAGCCACTGTTCGTCCCCTGGCCACTCGTGATATTTAATGAGCCCTTCGCTACACATGCTCCCTTGCACAAATTGAAACTTCGTAGATATGCCTGTGGTAATTTCGTTGACCTTTGTACGCAAAATTGTCCTCGGATGTCAGGACATTGCTGAAATTTAATATCAAGTCACTGGACAATGTGTTTCTGATATTCATTAAGAACCTCTGCTTTGTCGTGTCTGGCATTGAAGCTGAAATTGCTTAGACTGATACGAGAAAGCAGAAAGTGAAAAAGACTTTATTATAGTATTCTGTGTATAAAATTATTATTATTTTATGGTATATAATATTTCATTACTAAATATAAATTAAAGGATTTAGTATTAATATTTCTTAATTAAAATATACGATTTCTTAATTAAATATTTAATCAAATTAATTTAATTCTTTATTGAAAGACACGATTCTTTTTATCCGTGATTTTTATCTTCATTTCTCGATATTTGTATAGTAAATTAAGCAGAAATGAGAATGAATTTTCTACAATTGACATAATTAAAATATTCATATAAGTTGTATGCAAACCTACTTGATTTATTAGGCTTTTATAAGTGTATACGTATTCACACGCATAACACGATTCTCGTCCTCGTTCTCGTTACGAACAGCTACAATTTGATGGAGCGATGTCAGATTCAATTGACCAGTATGATACAGCCACATACGAACAGATCGGAGCAATTTCTTGGACCACTGCACTTGATTATCAATGATCGACGTCTATTATCCCGAAATCCCCTTTTAATGCAATTCCCTACTCGAATTTAATTCGTCTTCACGTGTGTTACATGTTTCCAGATATGTAAATATTTAATTAACAATTATTCCTCTACAATCATGTTCTAAATATCGCGAAAATAATTGCATAAAATATAACGCGACTTGTGTTGTTAATTGGGAAAGAAGTATAATTAAATTACAAAAATAATTTTCACATTAAATAAAATTAATAAAATTTAAATATTTAAATGAGAAATATAGTTTATTCTTCAGAATGGAGAAGGTAAAATATTCATTTTATTCGCATAGAAGTGAAATTCTAAATTTTGATTACCTGCTTTTTAATTACGTTATCAAGTAGATTATGAAATTTGTTAAACGAGGAATGAGGAATAATCTTTAGTTTTAAAGCCCCTATCCGCTATAAAGGAGTGTTTCAAAGCTCATAAAGGTTCAAAGTATTAAAGTAAGTATTAGTCATTACACGTATAAATTTCAGCTTGCTAGATTGTTAGAGTAATTACGAAGATGAAATCCTTCCTCATTTGCATTAAAAAGTTTAACAGCTTCCCGTGCACGTTTAGGAAGTTCAGTAACTGTGAAAGAAAATTTTAATCGTTTCGACAAAGAAACTCTTTTTCAGTGAGGCAAATTACCCTTTTCATCGAGCTACTAAGCTTTGCAGTGGTCCTCCATGTTGCACTCTCTATTCCAAACATAAATTAAAATTTGTCTGTGGTCATCACAATAATAATTTTAATTCAAATTCCACGTGTTTCAGTTCAGCAGGGATATCGATCAATTAATAAAGATATACAGAAAAGTGATTGTACTCAATGATATATGAGTCATTCGCACAAAATCCTTTATTATATTATCAAACACTTCCAAAATTCAGAGATAATAATATAAATTTGTTAATTTCATTTAATTTTCACAATTTTTTCAATCAATTTAAGCTCAACATTGTTCATAAGAACATACGAAAAAGTGATCATGGTCAACGATAAATCAGTCACACAATGTTCCTAGCTCTACTATTAAATTTTCTTAAATCCGAAATAAAATTCAAAGCTATCTATATCGTATGAAAAATTTGTAGAAGTAATTCAAATTTCACGTATCAAATAACACACGAAACAGTGATCGCAGTCAACGAAGTATCAGACAATCACGCACTGCTCTTTCCGCCTTATCAAACCCTTGCAAATTTCAGAAATCAACTCTATCACAAATTTACCGATCGTTTTTCGATTCGAAGAGTCTTTTTTTCAAGCAGTCAGGATGAAATTTATCTGTCCTACTTGTCCCTCGAATGCTTACGCTTCCGGGATTCTTTCAAAGGGCGCGAGGGCTACGTTCGCGCATATGTGCAGTGGCTGTCAGAACCATCGGTCATAGGCAAACGGTGTAGGTCAAAATCCACGGTCATTAATCTTGATCATTTGTCACAGTACTGGATGTTGAGCAAGACCGGCGAGATCCGTCGAGACGAGTCGTGCCTGGATTACAGCGGCACCGATGTCATCCTCTATCCTTGTCACGGTAGCAAGGGGAACCAACAATGGATTTATAATCCTCAGGTACGCTTTCCTCACCTTTGTCACGAGTATTGTATCAACCTTTAAGTAATTGATACGAAATCCTGCTGTGATTTTGCCTCCTTGACACTTGACATTCTCTTATTTCTTGTATTGAATTTGAACCTTACGTGTATTTGAAAAATACATCAACTAGTTTAATAATAGCTAATCGCATCTATTTCCTTAGTGCATCAATTTTCGAAGCATAATTAAAATTGTAATATTATTCTAATGCTAAAATAATAAAAACAGTATTTAAATAATATCTATACTATGCATTATAATTATAAATATGTTTAATAGATTCGTGACAAAAATAATTTATCAAAATATTTATTTTATTATTAAAATTTTAATTTTAATAATTTATCACTAGTTAATATTCGAAATTTATGGAAGAAATATCAAAAATTATTCTAAAACTCCACGTGAAAATAAACAAAAGAAAATTTTCAATTCTTAATGAAGAAAAATGAATTAATTAAATTTCAACTCGCATTAATAATAGTCTCTTTGCAATTAAATTACTCCATTCTTCTCCCACTATCGAAGCAACTACTAATCAGACTATCTTCGTTTGCAGACGAAGCAAATCAGACACGGTAGCAGCGACAAGTGTCTGGCTATCACCGAGAGCAAGCAGCGCTTGATCATGGAGGAGTGTTCGGCGACAGCAGCGAGACAGAGGTGGTCGTTCGAGAACTACGACCCATCGAAGCTGTGATATCGCGCTTTTTCGCGTCGCCAGTCGAAAAATCTCGGCCGAAGGTTCGACCGTGCCGGCTCTTGGGTGCCTGTTCAACGTTATTCCGTCGCCAAGACCCGTTTCGGTAGATAGACGCCGTGGTATCGAGGCTAGGACGCCTCGAGGTACCATCGACCAGCCGCTCCAGATCGACTGCAGGACGAGAGAAGCGCGGAGAATTAGTCGAAGGACCTTCCGAACGGAGCAGAACCATCTGGCAGAGCCTAAACGAAGAAGAGACACGTTCCGATCCTCGGCTCTAATCTCTAACTGTAAGACGGACGAAGTGCAATAGAAACGTCGTTTTAAGGCTGATGGAGGAGCACTGGCCCCTTGGATAAGCTGTAACCGGTGTACAATGAGAGATGGGACACTTGGAGAGTGATCGGGGTGTCGATACACGCTCGAGGAACGCTTTCGCTGGCATTGAAGAATTGCAAGCTTCCTGGTGGAGTGGAAGCACGCGAAGGAATCTTGGACTTTTAATCTTCCTCTTCTGCTTGGCTAGCGTTTAACCTGGATTTTTCTTTTTATTCTCTTTCGTTCATGGGTCACGCGTCGATGGTTGTTGTTTTGGGGAGACTCGACTTGTGGTATCGCTTGTAATTATTTGATCCTCCATATCAGTTGACAGGAGGATCCTGTTGTTAGAGTAAAATAGGTTCGTTGATTTTTCACACGCAACGTTGGGGAATTCACGAAATGTTTAGGGTATGGGAATATTAATCAACGCTGAACCTGCTATAATTGATTAAATGAGAGATGGATAGGGAAATGAAGGAGGAAGAATTTTAGAGAAAATATAGTAAGGGATCAGAAAATTGATTTTATACTAGAAGAAAAATCGCAATGTTAAGTCACCAAAGTGGAATTTTTAATCAGAGGGGTTATTTAAATCGTGGTAGGTTCGGTGTTAAATAACACGCGGTGTAAATTTACTCTGGCGAATGGGAAATTGACAGTTGCGTTTGAGAAATCAATTTCTTTCGTTGATTATCGTAACGTTTTCTTTTCAAATTAATATATTCTGTACCTAATAAAATACTTATAGATTGTAGAGTTATATAAAGTTATAAGATTTAACTTCTAATTTAAGTATCTTTGAGAATCTTCGAGTAGAAAGGGTCTGAAGATGACTCTTGACAGATATTTTCCTCCTGTTCGTATTTTTACAACATAGCTACACTGAAAGACTCGCGAGCATTCCAAAACTATGGTTACTTAGTTGAAACGACTGTCACGAAATCTTTGGAATAATTACAAGCGATGCTATACTTATTGGTAGTAGAGGTAGCTCGTAGGGTCGTTGTGTTAAATAATTCGATTAATTAGGTGTAACGATTACATTGTATAACATTGCGCAAGTACTTACGAATCGAAACGATCTACTGTTCGATAAATCTGTAATTTAAGTGTAACGTTTAGGTCAATGCATCAATGACAGCGAAGAGCGTGTCAAAAGGGGTAGGTCGTTCATTTTTATTCGTGTTAAACGGACGAACGCGGCCGTATCGATCGCAGTGCTAGCCTCGATCGTCGCTTTCATCCGTGGATCGTTGTTTTAAGGAGGATCGAGCGATTCGCGTAAGCTGCTTACGGCGAGTGCCATCTCAGAGACGATGGGGTGTTTTATTAGAAAACGACGGATCGTTGATTGCAAGTAACGAGTGATGCTCAATGCTCTTATCAATAAGGAGGATTATTTGTTTCAAGGAAATCGAACATTATTCTTTTAACATTCTTTCGACGTTACATTTTGTGTAGAGAATTTTATGTTATCTTGGAAATTGGAAAAAGGGAGGACATAATTAAAGATAGTAATAGAAACTTTGGATGATTGAAGAGATATATCTAAGCAAAAGCTCTAAAATGTATATTAAAGTATACTACTATGATACCAGATTGTGCAAAAATCTGCATAAATTGATTTCTTCGCAAAAGTAAACTGAAGGTTACAATAATAGTGAAGGGAACGAGGAAATGTTATCGTATTAACATATCAAAGCTACTATGAGACTTATTAAACATATCAGTGTATTTAGTAATTGCTTTAGTATTAAGAATATTTTGAAATACTTTACATGGTCTACACTACGAGACACATCAATTTTTGATAAATTTCTTTTACGCGAAAGAAGTACACTTGTCATAAAAATTCCTTTTAACAAATCTATTATACCTCCAGTTCTTATAGTAATGAAAATTGTGACTCTGTCGTGTGTGACTAAGAATACAGGCGAGCTTGATCAACGATTCGTCGATCACCCATCGTTTCTCTGTCGCATCCTCAGCGCTTACGATAGCACCTTACATTCCGACTTGGACGCAAGAAACTGTCATCGACGATTCCAAATTCCGACGGAACCTTCTTTTCTAATTAATTTAGCACGTAGGTAGTGCGTAGGGACAGAAGAAACGAACAAGTTATGGTACACATTCCGATTACGGTGTAGGAAGACTTTTGTACATTCGTGTAAAGTATCTTGATGCCAGTTTAGATACCGCCTAATGTAAGTTTTCCGAGTGCATGTGCGAGAATAAGTCAGTTGCAGAGAATGAGTCCCCTTGATTCGCGAGTTCTCTAATAAAAACTCGCGCGATCCTTTGTGTCCAATAATGTTCAGCTCGAAATTTCTAGAGGAGAATTTCACATTGAGATTTGAGTGAAAGAAAGGAGAAAATAATCGCAGAATTAATTGCTGGATAATAAAACTTCATTTATGAGAATCTGTCCAAAGACAAAATTCGAAAATATAATATTAAGTCGTATTTGAAAAACAGATATTTATGAGAATAGAAAATCTAGATGGATAGGAAACGAATCAATTTATACACCTGCGAAACATATCAGGTATAATTTATACCTAGAAATTAATTAAAAATCATACAAATTTAAAGGGACATATCATATATCGTCTTCTGTAAAATGTTCACTAAATTTGATTTAGTCAACTCTAAGAAATTATCTTAACCCAAATAGTTTAGAAAAATTCTTCCTGTATGAATGAATTAATTAGATTTTATATTTTAATCGATTCTTTTATGATTCGTGTTCAAACTTAAGTTAATGATTGTTATAATACTTAACTCGATAACGAATGGAGTTCCACGATAGAGAAAAATTCCTAAATCTTTCACTCACGATGCTAAAAAATCGATGCAATTTTCAAAACTTCAGTCTCTATGATTCATAATTCTCCTCGAATAAGAAGACACTAGAGAGTCAGCAATTAATATTCCACAGAAAAGCGCAACTTGCAGGTGTCTGTGCGTGCCAACGAAATCGTAAATACCCCTAGGAACAATGTACAATATTCCGATTTATCTCGATCGTCACCGATTCCCTCGCGAGTCACACATTCATGACGCTCTAATACACCAGAAACGCGAGTCATCATCAAAGGTTTATCATGGAGAGAAACCCGAGGATGTTCGAGCCACGTTTCCTCGAATATTCGTCAAGACAATATACAACAATCATTTGATTCAACGATCGCCGATTAAATAACGAAACCTGTGTTCGACCGGATTCACGAATAATTTATCATTCATCGAGATCGATAGCAGAGCGTAATAGAGAGGGAATGTTGGAAATCGTATGTAATCAGAGAGAAAATTGCAACGGGCGTTCAATCTAACGCGATCGACGATAGCGATTTTCGTTTCGGACGTTTCAAATTTCGCGCCTTTTCGCGGCTCCAGAGATCGGCTATAGGACACCGTAGAAATGTTCCACGAAAGCGAGAGTTTTAAGGGTGGTAAGCTGGGAACGCTGTTACGGCTGATAAGGTCGTAATTTCGTGGTGAATAATTAAGCAAGATGGGAATACGTATATACATAATGATTATAAATATAGGTCTTAAGATGGTGTAAAAGTTTATCTTCGACAATGCCGATGAACGGACGAATGGAAATTCAACGAGAACGTTTATACAGATAGATATACATATATTATAAATATATATATATTATATATATATGACATTTTCTACATTTGGTAAGGATGTTGCATATCGTACGAACGAGAGGAAACACAATGACGATAAAATGAGATGTAAGAGATGTAATATTGGACAGCCGAGCGACGCATGGTCGCACGTTAATTAATGTAATATCGAACGTGCCTTATTTCCTGTATATATACATATATGAATATTATTATCATTATTATTATCATTATTACCGAACCTCTATCGTAACGTGCAAGTATTTGTGTTGAATAAATCGATGTTGTTTTACGTTACCACCGTGAGGATCGATCATTATTCTCGACTGTTCACTCGTTCATCCGTTCCTCCTGTTGGGTTGATAGAAAAGTGATGGAACACGAGAATATTTTGATTTACTCCTGGTATGTTTGGAAAATAAAATTAACGTGGATGAAAAAGGAATAAGCGAAACTGTGTGTTGTCTGTTATTCACCAGATATAACGAACGCGTCTGTAACTGAAAGGGAAAGAAAGGATTTTTCAAACTATATAATAGCATATTCTTTTTATTCGTCGCCAACCATAATGAAGTACGAAGAAAATTGGATATAATTGATTATTCATATTATAATTGATATTTTATAATTGATTACTGAAAGATGTTAGACGATTGAAAATTTTACATAGTCTTAATAAAATTGACATAGTTATTTTAGCAGCTTGCTCGTCAAACACACAAAATTTCGATACTCATTATATTTTTATATTTAAATTTTGATTTAAATCGTCGCAGTGAAATAGGGGGATGAAAATAGAAGGAACAATATAACTGCAATTGGTGTGAATTTTATTACACGAAGCAATTCATTCTTGTAATTCTTTTTGTAATTTCATTTTCATTGTAATTCTTTTATACTATAGTGACATCATAGTGTCTTTTCGAATTTCTTTCTGAAAGCTCGATATTTTTGAATCAATAACTTAAGTCTTTATTCGTCTCCAACCATAATGAAGTACGGAAAAAATTGGATATTAAAATCATCAAAATTCTTTCAGAGTCATTATTGATCATTGGAAGACGTTGGGATTAGAAATTTCAGGTTTCAATAAAATTGTCATAGTTATTTTATTACTTGAGGATCAAGCAGTGATTAGTTCATGCAGTTGATGATCAAACACACAGAATTTCGATATTTATTATTTTTTTACATTTGAATTTTGATTTAAATCGTCGCGATGAAATAGAGGGATGAAAATAGAAGGAACAATATAACTCCAATTGGTGTGACTTTTATTACACGAAGCATTTCATTCTTGTAATTCTATTATATCATAATTACACTATACTGCGAGGCGTTGTACTCAGTCTTTTCGAGTTTCCTTCTGAAAGCTCGGCGCCTCAACCAATACCCGAAGCCTTTATTTTCCTTTGTCCCCAGTTCGATTCATCGTTATGATGCTATGAATTCCTTTGACACGGTCGAGCCGCGTAATTGCACACAATATTGAATCGCAAGTTTGCCATGAAACTCGGTCATGACATAGTTTCTGATCAACCTTGAACTATTTCGGTCCGACCATAAATTTCCGTTTCCACTTGGCCGGGCCTGCGTCCTGGCTATTAATTATTAACAAATCGCTAAACATTCGAAGCAATAGCCGATTAATCGCGATTAACCCATTACGCAAGCTTGCTTCACCTCGATCCAAAATACGCATGACGATGATCGATGAGATCGAGCAATTCATTGATCTAGAAAAGATTCGATGGTGGGGGTGGTGTGAAAAATAATTTTCGCGGATAATTTCGCGATTACGAAGAATTGCGTGTGTCCATCGAGCCATTCGCCAATTATCGAGGGCTGCCACGGAAACCAAAACGAAATCGTTCGTTATTTTCGCGCAGGCGTCGTCGGCGTCGCGACGTACCTCGTCTGGACGCGGCCGACGAAAGCTTCTTCATTCGTTCGCAAATTTTCACACAATTTGGATCTTCTGACCTGATCATCTATGCACGAAATATACTCCTTAATATACATTCGATAAATCGATTATATCGATCTTCTATCTTAATCCTTCTCGCCTATCTCGAAATAAATAAAGGAGAAAAAATTGTATTATTAAAAAAGCAATTTTTCAATTTCGAATTTATATTAGAAAATTAGAAAACTAGTATGGTGTTAGGTATTTTTAATTATTCATTGTCTCGCGAGAACTCGGCGATGAAAATATGCAAATTTTTTGAATTCAGTGGACATCGAACTAATCGAATTATGGCACCGATAATTGTGTCACAGAAGGGTCCACGTAACGGTCATTTTTAAACGCGAAAACCGTCAGTACTTGCCCTTTTTCCCCATCTTTCAGCCGGGATGCCTACTTGTTGCGGGGTCGGCTGTTATTGATTAGGCGAGAAGGAGAGGAAGAACCGGAGGGAGACGAACACTCCTGCACAGACATGAATGGTCGTGGTCCACAGAGCCAGATTTTGAGCTTGACCCGGATTCGTCACGCTGGAGTTCACGTTACCTTCACTTTCGTTGCTCGCGTTGTAAGCTGGCGTGAAAAATCGAGAGTGAACCGCTGGCGACCGGTCAAAATCTGCTTCGTCATCATCCGATAACACCGGGATACTCTTATTCGAACCCAAAACCGACGGAAAAAAATAAAATTGACAAATCATTCTGCCAACTTCCAATCGAAGGCAACTCCTCCATTCCAGCCTACCGAGCAAACAAATTTCCCACCCCTAGAAAAAGAAAAAAGGAAAAAGAAGGAAGAAAAGGAAAGAAATAAATAAGAAAGAAATAAAATAAATAATAAATAAATTTCGAATGAAATGATAGGGTATTCTAGAGGAAACAGTTCTCCATCTTCCTCAGAGGAAGCTAGGAGCTTGCAAGGAGCTTGCAATATCCGAGCGAAATGCTACTTTCATTATCAGCCATCTAAGGAGCAATCAGCGATCTGAGGATACCGGTAACCGGGTGACATTTAAAAATTCGTGGAAAGGCGGCGCGGGGTGGAGCGAAAAAGGGAGAGGTCCTTCGGAGGACCTGCAGGTCGCACAGGCGCAGCAACGGCTAGGTTTCACCCCCGGCGAGGGTGCGCGAGTGCGCAATGAGGGCTGGCCTGGCCCAAGGGAGCGTAGGCTAGGCGCAGTCGAGAGGCTTTGGCCGAGTGTGAGTGGCGTTTTCGCGTTCGTTGCGCGGCTTCCATTCACGAAAGCGACCTGTTCGATACACCACCCCCTCGTGCGGCTGTCGGAGCGAAGGGTTGAGGCGTGCTTGAGCCACTTGCGTCGGTGGTGTCGGCCTGGACAGGCGAGAAATCGAGAGACGCGCGGGGGTTGCTCGACACAGGCGTGTCTCTCGCGGTAGATACTCGCGAGGTTTGCTCGATTTCACGGCCCTGAGGTCGAGTACGGGGTGGTGCGGGGGTGGCGAAGGGTGGCCGGCCAGGAATAGTTCATTTCGGGTTATCGGCGAAGGTCGACTGCGGTCTGTTTCGCTGCAATCTTCGTCTCTCTTCGAACGGAGCGCAGGGGAAAAGATGCTGCTGTAGGTCGAGAGAGCGCGAGAGAGGGTCGTCGTCGCGCGTGCACCGTGGATTATGCGTGATCGTGGGATCGTGGAAGTGAGGTAAAAGTGTCTTTTCGGGGCAAAAGCGGCCCGGCGAGCGAGGAGGCTCCGGGATTCGAGCAACAGGTAATTTAAAAGCTTCGCGGCGCGACGCTTTCTTTGCGCCGGATTACGACAGGGTGAGATTGTTGCTTGTTTTCGGGGCGAGATGGTGCAATTCGCGTGCGACTTCGACGTTAACGAGATGCGGGTGATTCTTGGTTCGGGGCTGGGAGAAGGACGGGACTTGATTTTTGTTTGTTGCTGTGACTTCTTGGTATGAGAAATGAAGGAAATTTTTCGTGATGTTTCTTTGCTTGCAGGTGAGGAAAAGAGAGAATTTTTTGGGGATCTTTGAGTGGATTAGTTATGAATATTTTATTTTTCCTATCTTCTATTTTTATCGCTTATTTCTTCCCTTTCATTGCATACTTATAGTTGAGGGAAATTCATGAGTTTAAATTATTAATGGACCTTATCTCTGCTGTTTGTAATTTATATATTTAAACTATTTATATTTTTATTTCTGGTGTTTTATCTATTTCCCTTATATTTAAGTTAGTTCATATGATTTTGCCTTAAGTATCTTGTATGGCTATCTTAACCAAATTAAGTACCATATATGGAAATTAATAGTAGTAGACAAAGTCTTTAAACAAATGTTGAAAAATTACATTTCTTCTTCTATTTCATATCCTAAGTAAAGGCTCTTTAATCATACTTTCAAATGACATTACTATAATCATATAGCACTCCACATACTTTTAAAAGTACTTCAAATATCATATGCAGATATTAACATTGCCAACGATTGAGAGATTTTGATAATCTTATATTTATCAGTTTAATTACAGCACGAGGTACAAATGTAAGCTTATATTTACATACAATTATCTACAAAAATTTACAAATAAGGATATCTAAATATTGAATATCGAATATTAAATTACACAGAAGATAAACAGATTTATCAATTTTTGTATTATTTATTATTATATATCATTACAAAATCAACTATAAAAGAATATGTATTATCAAAAAATGACTGTACAAAAATCATGTCAGACTAATTATAAAGGACGAAAAGTGTGAATTTCCCAAGTGCATGTTCACCCGCATTCTATCAGAGTGCCAATCAAATTCGTTAAACCCGAACACCTACACTGCGTAAATTATTCGCGTTGCTTAAAGGTCGCACGTAAATGAAAGTATATCGCCGGTGTGGGACGAGGATTAAACGAGTCTCTTGCTGCAAGTAGGTTAACTACATGGCAGATAACGGTGCTCGTTACACGGAAGGGTAGTTAAGTCTTTCGTCAGGGGGTGATTTATCGACGGACTCGCAGATTTTTCTATCGGATAAAGGAAAGTGCATTTCGTCCATTAAAGCGTGCTCCCGCGTCGCTTTTTCTTCAGAAACTCTTAACGTGCTCGGCTCGATGGTTGGATTAACGCTACTCATGCGAGCAATTCGCTTTTCTTCGTCGTGTAACCTTCCTTTCGCGTTTGCTCCTCGCTTTCACACTTCTCCGTCTATATGACCGAATTAAATCTAGACGATATACAAATCGTAAATTATAAAATTCTCCACGTTTTACAATTTTGCAATCTTCGTACCCTCATTATTATACAATTTCGCAATTTAATTATTTTACCTACGATTATCTACGATTTTCATCTTTTACAATTCAATAAAATAATAATAATTTTAATAAAATAAAACGATGATAATCTAATTATCATACAGTTGTACACATTTTGCATACAATTTCAGAATTTCATAATAATAAGAAATAAGTCAGCACAGGAATTAAGAAATCCCCTACCAATTTCTAATTTATATAAATAATACAAAGGTAAATAAAATATTCACCAGTGATATAATAAAATAAATAATTTTAAAGACACAGTTAAATGAGACTGTTTTTCGATAACAAAGATCCTACGTAACGAGAAGCATTCGACTCTAATTACCCAGCCAGAATAATTATTCGAGCATGTGAGGCTCGTCAACATCGAAACATCCTTCAAACCGATCGTCTGACATTTTCCACTCGCAAGAGATCGAAATTAATATTAATATAATTATTCCACTCGTATTTCCCTAATTGCGATTCGACGTTCACGAGAGATACGCATACTCCTCTCATGCTAGACTCGTTTACAACTCCTCTACCCCTAAAAAAGGTCAGGCTGTTTCCTCGTCAACGCGGTTGAAGGCTATAAATACGACGAATTTTATTTATAACGCCCCATACTAATAATAGTTACACCCGTGCTATGTCGTTAGTGTGACAGCCGTTTAATCGAACTAAACGTAATCCCAACGATGGCGATACATACCCTGGAAAATAAATGAACTATCCACGTGTCGTTTTTATTGCCAGCTAGGTCGTTGTAGGGGCAAACAGCAAGACGAGAAACTCGATATGAAAAGTTGGTACCTCGCGAATGTAATATCGACTCGAGTGGCAAATATTTGCCTCATCGCGATGGGAATAGTTTCGAACAGTTGGTAATTTAATGTGAAGCGAAAATTGTGAGTTTAGTCAGCTGAAATCGTTACACACGTTCTAGTTATAGTACTAGTTATAGTCGCTGTTATGATTTTACGATCCACTTCGAGGCGGCTTAATTTATGGTCGAACACGTTCGTTTCTGTATAATCGACACGGATAATTTTTCATTAAAAAGGCATCTCGAAGCACGACTCAGCTGCCATTTTCACTGATCGTCGATAGACATCGTTGATTTTTCACTTTTATTTCCTATTTCACTTCGCGTGATTTTACCTGCTATTTTTATTGGCTTCCGAGAGTTGCACGTGTCTGTACAACGATATTTTTATTACACGTTGCTACCTATCGTAAATTTTACGTAATTTGCAACAAACTGTTTTTAGCCTGCTTGTCATACGGTATTTGATTACTCGGGTTGAAAATTGATTATTTTAAGAGATTTTTTAATTTTGTTTTCTAGATTCGAGTTGAATCTGTGTACAGTGCGTGAGAAATTATTTAGTGTTTTGCTAGCATTTTGCGATTTTCTCGTATTAATAATAATTAAGAAGGATGATTATTAATTAAGATATGATTAAGGATAGAGATTAAAATTCGAACGATTATAGGAAAAATAATTTGACATGTGATGGTCGATCTTTGCACTCGTATCTTACCTATTATGACATTTAAAATTTTATTACTTAAAATTTTAATATAATATTTAAAATTTTATTATTTAAAATTTTAAATTGGAATTCAATCTGTGCTCAGCGCATGGGAAATTATCTAGTATTTTGCTAGCATTTTGGGATTTTCTCTTATTATTATTAATTAAGAAGGATAATTATTGATTAAGATACGATTAAAGATAGAGATCAAAATTCGTTGAACTATAGGAAAAATAATTTCACGTGTGATGGTCGATCTTTACACTCGTATCTTACCTATTATGACATTTAAAATTTTATTATTTAAAATTTTATTATTTAAAATTTTAAATTGGAATTGAATCTGTGTACAGTGCATGCGAAATTATATAGTATTCTGCTAGCATTTTGCGATTTTCTCGTATTATTAATACGATTAATAAATTTTATTATTTAAAATTTTAAATATTTTATAATATTTATATTTAAATATTTATATTTAAAATTTTAACGCATAACATCAAGTACTGGTTTCACTGGTTCATTAAAAGACGCAAAAGAGTTTTATATTGCAAGAAGAAGAAGAAGAATAAATTTCTCTTAAATGATAATTACGTTTATTCAATATGAGCATAATAACATTATTTCTCTCCCTGAAATAGATTTTCGATTGGAGAAAGGTAGATTGTAGTAAAAAAAAATATTCCCGCGGCCTTTGTAAATATGAAAATCCAACAAGCGTTGGATAATGCTTGTTTATCAGTTTCAAACTTTCTGACAGCCTTCCAAATATATCTCCCCTAACATTTACAAGCTTCCGCTTTATTGAGCTAAATAAATTTCAATATTTACACGAATTCGAACCATTTAGTTTTGTATCGCGCGTTACATCTCAGTGTCAGAGTAATGAAATCAAGGATTTTAGACTTAGACCTAAAATTTCGAAGCTAAATAAGAACAAACTGCTTTCATAATCTCTTCGTATTTTTGCTTCTTATTCACATATTTTCGCTTTTTATTTCCAATTTTATTTTATTCTCCTTTTCCTTTCGGTTCAATATTCTTTTTTTCTCTTACGGAATAATGAATGATGTTTGAGGTTACAAGCTAGGAATAATGATTTTCCATGAGAAATTAAATTAATTAATTTTCCAGGAAAATACGAGCTCGATGCCGGAGGCTTCAGGGTCAGACGTGGGCGACGAGTCGGATTGTCACCCTTTCGAGAATAAGATCGGCCTAGCCGAGGATATGAAGTTTCTGGCTAGTATGCCGGAACTATGTGACGTGACCTTCCTCGTCGGTGAAACCAAGGAACCCATTTGCGCTGTGAAGGCGATCCTGGCAGCTAGAAGTAGGTTCGTATCGCGATTCGCACGAAACTAATTTCTAGCTTCAAAAGATATCCTTTTTACATATTATACACTATGTCCAAGTAATAAACTACACTCGTTTTGCATTATACTTAAAAAGGGAACATACCTTCGATAAATTCTGCATGTCATGACTAGGTCGTTCTTGATCGACAATGATTAGTGACAGATGGTTCTCTGAGGAGATTGTGTTTGGCTTCGAATATTAAGTGGACTGTGTTCTTATCTTGATATCGTGTGTTTCTATACGCAGTGTGCTATTAGGTTTAGCATTTATGTGGATCCCTGCTGGGCTATGTATTTCGTTATCGGTTCCAAAATATCAAAAATCTCCAAAATATTCCAAATATCCCAAATTCCAAATATCCAAAATATTTCAAATATTCCAAATATCCCAAATATCACAAATATCCCAAATATTCCAAATATTTCAAATATCCCAAATATCCCAAATATTCCAAATATCCCAAATATCCCAAATATCCCAAATATTCCAAATATTCCAAATATTCCAAATATCCCAAATATCTCAAATATCCCAAATATTCCGTATATCCCAAATATCCCAAATATCTCAAATATTCCAAATATCCCAAATATCCAAAATATGCAAAATATCGGTTCAATATTTTGTTATCCTGTTTCCAAATTTGAGGTGCAAGTGTAGGAATTACAAGCGGAAAAACGAACTCAATTATTGTAATACAGAATCATAGTTATACTTCAGGTACTTGACGTAAATGATGGCCAAGCATCAAGGTGCCTTCGTGTTTTACCTGGGGTACAGGGTCAACAATATGGTATTTCCTAGTGAGTAATAATACCATCAAAAGGCTATTTCAAGGATTAACAAATTCAAAGAATATCTCCTTTAAATATAATTCAAAAATATTCTGTAAAAATTTCACAATCTATGATACAGATATTAAAACCTCGAGGATCTTCAAGAAGAATATACTTTCGAAATTTTAAGCGAATTTCTTCACTCAGGATATTATAGTTTACGTCTCCTTCTGTATTTTTAAGTTTAATTAATTATTGCTGAAAAAATAATATCGGTAACGGAATACTGTATTAACATATTAAATATTCTAAATTGAAAAATTAATTTATTGCAATTCAATATTTTCTTAGCAATAATTAATTAAATTTAAAAATGCAAAAGGAGACATTAACTATAATACCCTGAACGAAATAAAATTCACTCAAAAATTATGAAGCTATATTCTTCAATCAATATTTTCTCAGCAATAATTAATTAAATGTAAAAGGAGACGATAACTATAATATCCTGAACGAAGATATTCACTTAAAAATTTCGAAACTGTATTCTTCAATTAAATATTTTCTCAGCAATAATTAATTAAACTTAAAAATGCAAAAGGAAACGTTAATTATAATATCCTGAATGAAGAATTTCACTCAAAAATTTGGAAACTATATTCTTCAATTAAATGTTTTCTCAGAAATAATTAATTAAACTTAAAAATGCAGAAGAATATGTTAACTGTAACATCCTGAATTAAGAAACTCACTAAAAATTTCAAAACTATATTCTTCAATTAAATAATTTTCAGCAATAGTTAATTGAACTTAAAAATACAAAAGGAGACGTTAACTATAATATCCTGAATGAAGAATTTCACTTAAAAATTTGGAAACTATATTCTTCAATTAAATATTTTCTCAGAAATAATTAATTAAACTTAGAAATGCAAAAGGAAACGTTAACTATAATATCCTGAATGAATAAATCCACTCAAAAATTTCGAAGGTATATTCTTCCTAACAATAACTATCTCTATGTATATTATATAATACAATATACTAATATCTAGAAAATTAAATCTCGATAGTGTTACGGTCCACAATAGCCGAATGTCAATAGACCTGAATGGAACTCGCTCGAGACAATGTATCCTTTGTTTCCACAGAGTGTTCCAGAAGATGTTTTATCAAGCGCCGAGTCCACAGCGAAAGAAGGATCCACCACCAAAGGAGAACAAGATCCGATTGTTCCTGAAGAGAAGCTCTGAGCCGCTGTTGAATCTGCAAAACGCAGCGCAACAGGTAATCGCAGCCATTACGGAAAGATCGATCCCTCGATACCTTTGCTACATTCTCGGGCGTAGTAGACAGTGTCGATATTGACTCGAGTCGATTACGGATAAATAGAGATGCCAAAGGCGAATTGAAATTAAAATCAAACAGATCGAACGTTCGTGACGGGCGTCGAAACGTTTGCCATATTTTCGATAAATGAAATGGACGTCGCGTTCATTATTTCCTAAAAGTAATAATAATTCTTATTACGTAAGAGTTGACACTCAGTGTGGATAGCTCAGGAGTTTGCATAGGGCAGGAAAACGATGCTTACCTACTGGCCGTTGTGTAAGAGGTCCCTTTGTGATCCAATCGTTGAGATATTTGTCTCAATAACGAAACCCTCGACAAATTTGTATTCACAGCGATTAATTTTAGATTTAGTATCCCGTTTGCGAATAATAGTCATTTTCTGAGGAATTTTTGATCGCTCTGAGTGCTGCGTAGAGCTCGGATGTTTGCTAAATATAGGTTTGATTGGTCATAGTGTAATGGAAAGATTCGTCCTGTCTGACAGGATCGTTATAATATACAATGGTTAAAGGATACCAATAAATTAACACGGATTAATTTTAACTATAGAAGTGAGTGTCCCGAAATTTACTCAAAAAGTAATTTTGACAGAAAATACAGGTTTCTAATTAACAATTGGAAAAATTGCTCAAGAATGAAGACGCATTGTTTTTCCATCTATCTATTTCCCTTCAGTTTTGATAACCCTAAACTGTCAATTGTCACGCTGTCTTTTCTTTTTCGCTGGTAATACTTTGTCACACAAATGGCGCAAAATTCAAATCTTGCGTGAATTTTGGGACATTTAATTTTGGAATAATTATCATTTGTTAGAAATATTTTGAGTAGTCTAGGTACTCTCTAGACCTCAGATTGCAGGTAGAAAGGAATGCTAGTTTGTCATTAATATAATTAGGTCCACATTTTTTTATGTAATTATTAGAACCTTTTTTTGAAATAAGTTTAGGTTCATATTTGTCAATTGCAAATATATTATTCTATTTAAGAATGGTGATCACTTCGAGAAAAATTTTTGAAAGTCCTAAGTACTATACAAGGTCCAGGTGCTTGAATTAAAAAAGAATTAAGATCTAGTTAGTCACAGTGTAATATGTTCACTTCCTCTAGCATAATCGTGAAAATAGATCACACGAATTTTCTATTAATTTGGACAGTAAGTAGCTTCGAATTTTTGCTGTCCACAGTGCTATTTCTATTTTCTTTTTCTAGTATTAATTTGAATTACTCATTCCAGATAAGAAGGATCAATATATTCATTTGTATCAAACAAAATAGTTATCATCTTATGACAGAAATATTATTTAATGACCAACCTAAATGAATTTCACTGCATCGTGTGATGAAAGGAGTGAATAAAATAATTCGAGACAAAATAAGCGCCAAATTGAAACGGAACAATGAAGCATTGGCATAGAGATAGGATCAATATTAACCATTTAACGTAAAATAAAAAGAGTTCGCGTGTAATTTAATCTACTACTATATCATAACAGATTAGAGTTAAAAATTAAAAATTGAGATTAAAATTACCACTAATAATTTATTCAAAATATCACTTTTACCCTTATGCAAACTTCTGAACGTCACACGGTATGTTACTATTATAAAATATATTAAATTTCAATTTCTATAATAACAACGTTAACCAATATTAAGTACCATTGATTCTTAAAATAAAAATAAAGTTTGAACCTTTGTCAAATAATTAATAAACGTTGGTCCTATAGTCGAATTAATATTCTTACAAAAATGAAAAGAAACATAAGTTACTGTAATTACTAAATTACAGTGTAATGTATTTTACTTAGAAATGGAAAGATTTTGTTCAAGTAATATTAGCGAATATTTAGGTATACCCATTTAAATGTTCCATCCTGAACAGTAGTAAGTAAAAATTGAATGAAAATGTTATCAGCGCTACAGGTGTAAAAATTTTGAAAGGCGTTTAACGACGCGTTATTTTATCGAATATATACACGTACCGTGTTCGAACATCGTCGTTAAAATGATAGAAATAAGTGTGCGTTTGTTGTGTGCCGTGTAGCGGTCAGGGTTCGCGCAGCAGTTGGCTCCCATACAAGAGGTATTATTATAACGTCAATTCTCTATAAAATTTTGCATCCTGAAAGTCCCTTTTCACACTCTTTGCTCGTTAAACTTCTTTTTCTCTCTTTCTTTCTTTTTCTTTATTTCTCTAGCCTTAAGCATTTTCAATTGCGCGAAGGATTCTGGATAACGATGAATCCTCGATTCAGGCTATACAGCCTTGGAAAGTTTCATCGAGAAAAATTCGTTCTTTCGAAGATTATTTAATTGCAATTACAGCAGAACGTCAATTATTCGAATTAATTGAAGGGTAACTCTGTTTCCTTTAATTAGGAGATTTTTACTTCGAGTAATCGGTCTGAAAGATTGCGAGAAATCCAAATTCTGGATTATCTAGGAAATCAGTTGGAAATTAATTATTCTTTTAATACAGACGTTCCTTACGCGATAGAATACTGACAAGACTAACCGATAAGACGAATGCTGCATAAAAATGGAATAAAAGTTGAAATTTATTTCTTTGTGGAGTAGTATTATATGTTATGTATATCCATTTATAAATACCATTATTATAATAGCTTTTGAATCCAGTTTCTTGCATGCTAGATTTTATAATTCACGATTATTTTCTGTTTTCCACTGACTCATCTAATATCGGGATAATTGATATTCAGATAGCCTTAATTGAAAATGGAATTATTCTGTGCAGTTGCATGGCAAATTTATGCACTGTTATCGTGGAACGAGTATAGTAATTATATGTGATATATCCGATTTTTATTTATAAAAAGACTGTTATTTTCCTGTACGCTGTAATATAAGAGTAAGGATGTGATTAATCAAATTTTTTTACAAACTTCGTATTTTAATTATGAAATTCAATTGAATCACAGATTTTCACCGTACTAACGTGGAGTAATTTTTTATCGAAAGATGTAGAGGTGTAAATATTATTTTTCTAAAGGATATATTTAGATATTATCGACTCGGAATACCGGATTAACTCTTTCACTTTCAAAGTAAAATTCCTTGCACGAAGTCGTTCAAAACTTCTTCCTGCCTCTTGAATAAATAATTCTCAAATACACGAACATTATTTTAAACAATATGAAAAATATAAAAAAGGATCACATTCCTCAATCGAAATTTTAGTAAAAATGAAAAGCTAAATAGAAAATATCCAATTTTTGTTTAAAAATATTTCCAATAACTCTGCTCAAATAATTCGTTAATAATTAATAAAAATTCACGAGGGGAAATTATTAAATAAAAAATAAAAACAAATTATTAAATATAATAATAAAATACAGACATGTATGTAGTAAAATATATACGAGCAGGAATAAAGAATTAAATGTAATATACACATCCCATCGTACTTTCTTCGTCGATCTGGTATTCCGAGTATTTTTATTTTACCAATTTCTCAAATAATTACGCAGCATCCCACGCAATTTAGTCATTAATAAATTCTTAACGAGGCATTCATCGTTCCAGTCTATCTCTTTCAATGGGCATGCAAGTTTTGAATTGACTACACGGTCCAGAGGACCCATCAGCATAGACTGTCGTGTCCATTCTTAAATCAGCAAATTTGCGATAGCTGTAGACTCGCACGATCGCGACCATGGTTCTCCTCTTCATTCGGCGACGGCACAATCTCGATCATTGCAATTCTGCATCTCACAGTACGTGGCGTAGTCGTGAATTTGACGATGGTCACTAGAAGCACAGTAGTTTGCCTATGAAGATTTGCACATGCGCGAAATTTCCGCAAAATCCGCGCATTTTTTCCGATTTTTATTGATGCTTAAGCGAACGGTGATGGACGATTCGATTATTAACGATCATCGACGTGTGGTTGGTGATTTCTCATGAATAAGAGGTACCAGTCTGTCGTCGGTTATTCGATATGAATTATGTCTATGGTTTGGAAATATTTTCTATCCATCACTTAATGCACTGAGAAAATCGCTTAGCATGAATTTTCGACTTTCGAATCGATTTATGCTCTTCGTTTTTGTAAATATCGTTTATCTTTTTGACGAACCATAGCCGAATCTGCATCAAACTGTAATCATCGAGGAATTCGAGCCTGATGTGTTTCGGCAGCTGATCGAGTATATACATACTGGGTGTGTGACACTTCAGCCTAGGACTTTGTTGGGTGAGTACTAGATGGATGTCATTATTTTTATTTTTGTTTAAAATTTATTGTATACAAAATTAAGAAAAGTGACGAAAATTGAAAAGAAAATTATAGGAGTCATTTGAATACATTACTATTTTCATTAGGGAATTATTTTTTCTTGTTACTGTTAATAATAGATTGCAAAATGAAAGATACGAACTGTATAAATAATTTTCTCTTTTTATTTATTTATGTTCGTGCAATATTTAAATAAATGTGATTAATGGAATTAAAGTAATGGAAAATTATTTCTGAAATCGTGACGTGTATTCTTAAAATTAATTTAAAGTGTTCAAAATGTATAATAGTTAATTCAGTGCAATTATTTTAATATTATACACGGTTGGACACGATAGTAAATTTATTATTGTTTTAAAGGTTTGATGAACGCCGCAGATTTTTACGGATTGGAGCAGTTGAGGAAAGCTTGTACTGGATTTGTGCAATGTTGTATAACAGTGGATACCGTGTGTGCGTTATTGGCATCAGCTGAACGATATATTCAGTATAAATGTACGAAATCCTTGGTACATAAGGTAAGATCTTACGAATATCTATCCAAATATATATACCTTAAATTGTAATCTATATAATTAAATTTAACCCTTTGCACTAGAGAGGCGTCCTTCAGTCGCCATTTAATAAAATTTCGAAGATCGATATTAATTAATATGTCAAATTTAAGATAATGTACCCATGTGCGAAGTATCGAAATCAAATATTTCTACTTGTCAATTATTATACTATTCCTTATTTACTGCTCACAAAAATATCGTCAGCTTTACAGCAGAAAATCTTCGAACTCCTACTCTTCTTTAACCAAAAAATCGTCAAGTGCAAAGGATTAATACACGTATCTAATTATAAGTATTTAAAATATGTCATCTACTGGAACATAAATAAATTTAAATATAAATATAAATAAGATGATGAATTTAATATAAAAATAAACTTGAATAATATATTTACTGCATTCATTTACAATACAAGGCATAAGAGTAAATTAGTCGAATGATTATATATCATTTTAGTCTTGCAACTACATGCATGACATATGTGACAACGCGTTATAGAAAGTGACATCGATCGATGCCAAATAATTTCACGTCATTTTACGTGGTGAAAATATTGAATTAATATCGCTATTTTCTCGTTTGTATCCAAAGGTATTCGAATTCGTCGATGAGCATGGCAACGAAGTATTGAATTTAGGATCCTTTACCCTGCTCCCTCAACACGTGGTTCGTTTAATCCTGGCTAGAGAAGAGTTACGAGCCGATGAGTTCACTAAGTTCCAAGTAAGTCAGCCCTCGGAATCTTCGCCTAATCAAATTCATGAAACCATAATAAAAAGAATCGACTCCCAATTAGCCATTTTTCATTTAACACTCTTAATCTTAAGATTAAAATTATTTCTCCATTATTTAACATCATTCCTATTAATTCTTCCATTTCTCAATTTAATTTTCTTATTTTCAAAATTTCTTAATATATATCTTTTTTAATATACAACGCTATAATTCTTCGTCTCCATTTCTCAGATTAGTTCTCATCATTGGTAACCTAAAAATTAGTATAATAAATTAAATTAGGGATTATTGATTAATTAAGGGATAATTTGTTATTGAATTTTGTATAATTTCCAGGCGGCCTTGATGTGGAGCAAGAAGTACTGCGACAGCGACCAGAGCCAAGACCTGAAAGACGTGATATCCAATTTTCTGGAATACATCCAGTTCCACAAGATTCCAGCGAACGTGCTGATGAGGGAGGTTCGACCCCTCGGCCTGGTCCCATCCAAGATCATAGTGACCGCGTTGGCCTACCAGGTGCGTGTTGTTTCGAAGATAACGGTGGAACTATATACTGACACTTCTCGCGAAGCTTATTGCCACGATCGAACCTCGTTTCGCATAATCGAATTCGTATTAGACGTAGAGAAAGCTATCCGTAACTTAGCCTACTCGAAGCTCGCGATGTCGCAGACAGAACTCGTGCAAATTGTTCGTTTTCCTAATTTACTATGAAGCAACCTGATCGAGATTACACTGTTACAAGCAGCACTTTTAGTGTAGCTCCAGGATTATAGTTTGCGAATTTCTAGCAAATTGCGCTAAAATGTACGTTCTCCACGAAGGTAACGGTAGAGTGATCAATCCAAAATTATTTCGTTCGATATTATATATTTATATATATAAAACTACGCCCCAAGAAAGATAAGAAAATGTGGTCGGAGAGAATTCAAGTATGAATGTGTATTTATGGTTCTTCTTGTACCCATCGAAATACAGGGTGTTTCGTGGTGTGTGACAAGTACAGGAGTGGATTCTGCATATTGGTGGAAGAAAAAGGTTCATGTATATATATGTACTCGATATCTGACTTCATTTTGGTTTACTGTTTATTTTAAATTTATTTTTAAATATATTTTATAAGAATTTTATACGAATTTATTTTACAAATATTTATTTTTGACAGATAAAACGATAGACAGAGTATTTTATTTTCAATAATCAAAATAAAATATGGGTAATGATTTTGTATTTTTCTAATTTTTGTTTTTAAAGTGGAATTGCTATTTATTTATTGCAGTACCAGTAACATAAAGTTTCTGGATATAACAATTATGATAAAAATAAGTTGTACTTTGTAAACGAGGTCACATCAGGAATATATTTATATGAAATTCATTTCTTTAATTCAGTGTGCAGAAACTTCACAGTACTTTCCACATATCATAAGATACCCTGTATATAGGGTGTTTTATAGTTAACCGTTGAAACTTCCACGATATGTTACGTCAGTAAAAATAAAAAGTTAGGTGTAACAAGAAGTCCATAAATTGATAAATTAATAAATTGATTTTAAGGAAAATATGAAATATATGGAGAAAGGAATATCCAATGTTAAAATTAAATTTCGAATAATTTAATTAAAGGAATCGATATGGTACGTGAACGAAATTGGATAAAATCATAGAGGAATATTCAATTGGCAATAAATTATATAGTACGTTAATATTAGGTTAGCATCGATAATGGAAGCCGATATTTCCTTTACGTTCGATATTCTTGTTATTACTTCTTAATAAAGAATTTATGGACTTCTCTTTACATTATACATTCTATTGATTCTATTTTTACTTACGGAACATACTGATGAGGTTTGAACGAGGAATTATTAGACACCCTGTATATATATATACACCCAGTCTGTGTTTCTTGTTTTATTGTCGAAGCATGCAGAAGGTGGAGGTTAAAGAATTGTTTTTTAGAAAATTTGGTTGAAAAATTTATTATACTACATGTACCACTGACATGGTATAATCCATTGAAGGTCCGAGGGGTGTTTTTGGATTAAATTGAAACGCTTATTAATCGTGACATACGTATTATAAAAATATGCAATTTTTATACTTGCAATTTATTTATTATTTATTTATTATAAATTCGTCGCGTCTTTTGCAAATTATATTTTTCCCTGGGACCAGTACACACATTTACAATTAGTTATTTAACGATATATATATTTTGTGCCATAATATGTTACACTGTCCAGAATGATTAAAAAATTATGCGTGTAAATGATTAAAAATAATCATATATTTAATGTCATATAAACTGAGGAAAAAATTTTATTTTAATTACTATTGACACCATCAGAATAATCGTATGATTATTTATCTAGAAGAGCGATGAAAATCTAATCTTCGAAGCTACTTAAATTGAATAAATATTTCATATTTATTAGCAAAGATGTTATCAGGACAAATAAGTGATTATTTATCTGAAGAATCAATGATGATACAACTCCTAAATGTTATATCCATTAAATGAAAGTTTAGTGTCAATTAATGGAAATATTTTCATTTACTTCTTCGATTAAAAAATTTCCTTTCAATTATTCTGGATAGCGTAAACATGCAATAACATCCCACTTACAGTTCATAGCGTCAAACCAAGTTAAATTTTCAATTATTCAATTACCAATTATATGTAACCATGCAATCTTTTCTCAATTTATAAATGTCAAAAAGGTTCCCTGAGTTTTTGAATTTGTCTGCAAATTGCACACGTAGTAGATATTTATTCTGTTAGCAATTATTTTTCCCTTTTAAATTATTGTTCTCCAAACTCGTCGTTTAAGATTGAAACGTCCTTCCCATTGAAACAATTAATTATTTCAAATACCTGTTCTTTATCGAACATACAACAGTGTGCAGTAGAACTCCGTTTATCTGAAAGTGTGAAAAGATAAATGGTTCATTGTCACTGATTAGTTTCCAACATTCCAATACTTTTCGCAGAAAATTTTTGGACTTATTAATAACATTAAATAGCAGTAATTATTCACATCATAGGATAGATCTTGCATTTTTGTTCAATAAAAAAGAATAATTACATCGCAGTAATACAATACGAATTAAGAATTCAAATTAATCAGATAAATGAAGTCTACAGTACAAAAACACTATCCACTGCAATCACCAACCCCATTACACGTCCAATACAATTTAAATGTCTATAGAAAGCCACTTTAACTTTAACCCTTTCGATACAAAGAAGGACTCGAGTTAGACGATGACATATTATTTATATAATAAGATTTAAAGTTCATTAAAAGTTCTTTTAACTAATAGAATCTTTTAACAAATGTTTTAATATTACATAAACTATAAAATATTTTTCGAATTTAAATCTGATGATCCACAGGGTCCACTACTAGGGACCGCTACTCTCCTGCGCCATTTTCTCAGATATAGTCAACAGAAGCCGTTCCATAGTGCGCCAGTACTCCACAGCGCCATCTAGTCTACTCCCAATTCGATCTGCCCGCCATCTACCCTATCCACAACCATTATCTCACTTAAAACTATCCTAAACTACATTCAATATACCTTCTGAAGCAAAATGAGGACGCAATATACTCTGAACAAGGTCCAATTGTCACGAAAGGGTTGAAGTTCCTCTTTCCTTTTCTCTTTCTCTTTCTTTCTTTCTTTCTTTCTTTCTTATATCGCCAAATGACGTAGAGAAACCGTCCTTTATATTAAACGTCTCCACCAACGAACCATCCTGGAAGTAATACCACCAAATGACGTAGAGAAACCGTCCTTTATATTAAACGTCTCCACCAACGAACCATCCTGGAAGTCGCCTAACCGGAGGGTTTGTTGCAGGCAGACCCGACCAGTGTCGACCCCAGAAGCTTGTCCCCCCAACGAGTGAAGCACCAGGACCGTAGTCTGTCGGTGCAGTCCTCTCTGCAGGACCAATTCGGCAGCAACACCTCGCTGAGCTCGACCCCGTCGGACGATGGGTCCGACGAGAAGCAACATTCAGGTAGCAACTAACCTCCGGCAACGGCCGCACTGATCGCGGCCGTATCGGACGAGCCTCGAGGCGAGGAAATTCCTACTAACGATGCGGTCTCGCACCCGCTTGAAGGTAAATACGGCATAGCAGAGCAGGAAATACGGGAACAGGAACAGTGGCCCAAGCAGCGGCGCGAAGATGATGACCTGCAGCGCTTGATCGAGCAGAGGAATCAGTATCAGTCGATGAGGCTGGAGGACGAGGCGCAGCGTCTGCACGACGAACAGCTGATCAGGCGACAGGAAGAAGAGCTGAGGAGGCAGGAGATGCAGGAAGAGTTCGAGAGACGTCAGAGGGAGCAGCTGAAGAGGAAGTACGACGAAGAGTTGAAGAGGCAGCAGGACGAAGAGAGGCTGAAGAAGCAGTTGGAGGAGGACAACTTGAGGAAGAAGCAGGAAGAGCTGGAGTACAAGCAGGAGCAGGAGAGGCTCGAGATGGAGAGACAGAGGCAGTTACTGAATGCAGACCAGAAGCTGGAGATGGAGAGGCAGAAGCAATTGCAGGATGTGGAACAGAAGATGGAGTTGGAGAGACAGTCTCGGTTGGAGCAGAAGATGGAGACAGTGGAGGTTCAGC